AGCCAGATCCAAAGCTGACTACCTAAACAATATGTTCCACTGAAATCACCAGACCAGCTTCCAAATAAATGTGTTTAGGAATGCAGTACAGCCACTTACAGAATACCCCTAAAAAAATGCTTTCCAACAGTGCCTAGATGACGCAGGCTAAATATATGAAAACAATCGTAGGTAGCATTCAGAAATAAAGACTACTGTACCTCAGACTTGCTCCCCGCTCCAGAAACCTGCCCACGCAACATTTAGTCTGGGAACCAAAGAATCCCAGCACTTCCGAGATTTGCTTTGCTCATTCTTTTCTCACCAGTGAATACAAAGTCAAACTCCAAACAGCTCCAATTTCCCTTTTGTTTCCAATAGTCCAGTTAGCGATTTATACTTGGGGGGGGGGGGACACACCTTTGAGATTGATGCCTTTCGATATCCAATCACAAACTGAAGCCCAGTCCTATTTCTTGGAAGGAAGGGAATGGAGAGGGAGTTGGAAAAGTACCTTCAGTTTGGCGTCGGGGTTGAGGATCATCTGTGCCAAGTGAGCTATGGCCCCCGCATCCACCACCGTCTGCGCCAGCTCCGGAGAATGCTTTGAAATATCACTGAGCGCCGAGGCAGCGATCCTTCTCAGGGCGATCTCCGGCTCTTGGATACAGAGCACTAAAAGAGGGATGGCTCCCGCATCCACCACCGCCTGTGACAGTTCTGTGGGTCGGGGGAAAGTAATTAAGCGACTCTGGGTGACTGACCCTGGTGCAAGCCATTTGTCACCCTGACAGATCCAGAGGGAAGGGGGGGAGGGGGGGTGGACTTCAGGGGCTTGACATCTGCATTTCAAATCAGCTCTCCTGGTTTCATGAAACCATGTGGACCAATCCCCGGCTGAAAAGAACACAGGTCAATGGCTGGACCCTCATTTACATGTACACATTTGAGGTATTAGGCTGAAAGGGTTTGTTACCCTGTGTGTGCCTGCGAGCCAGGGTGTGCTTAAAAAGAGTAAGCAGATGTCAGCTGCTTAAGGCCTGACTGTTGTGCTGTGATCAATAGGCAAGCAGGGTGTTGGGTTGGGTTTTTTTTGCACAGCTAACAAAGAAAAGCCAAAATGCTAAAATGCACCCCCCTCCACATTGGAACTTTATCCCACTTATATGACAAGCGGAAAAGAGCAGGCCTAAAATACAGTAAGGCGTCCTTTTGAACAACGTAGAACCCCAATGTGCTCCCGCTTGACTATCAAAACACCTTTTTTCAAAACAGGCAAGCCACCCTCCACTAAATCAGAGCCACAGACAGCTGCCTTTAAGCCCCCGGAGCTGATTGCTTGCATCTTAACCTGAGAACCCACAATTAGCTGATACAGTCCATGTGCTGTTATTGCAGATTCATTCATTACCCCCCCTCCCCTCCACATATTTGTCATTAGCTTCAGTGGTGGAGTAGAAAATTACGGGATAGCAAAGGCAAAGGATTACAGCAAGGGCTGTTTTGGAGATGATGAAAAATGAATCCCAACCCCCATTAATTTCAAATAGGCTATTATCGGTTCTTAAATAAGGTTTTGTTCGGACTTCTCCTTGTTATGCACATAGCCTCTTATCTTTAACATTTAACCTGCCCCTGCACTGCCATGGCAACAAATAGCTGCTGTAATTCAAGGACCCAACTTTGATTTTGCATTTTCAGTCCATCAATCAAACCCTGCAGTAGAACTTTTCTTAATCAGGTTGTTACAACCACTGACTCTGTACAGTTTCTCGACGGGTGAGCCGTGCTCATGAAGCAATTATAGATCATATAATCTAAAATCTACTGTTTTGTACCCACCTTGGTGCCAAAATAACTCTTTGAACTAAATTTGCTTTCAGTGGACCATGGAGGACGCTCCAGTCTCTAAAACCCCCAATATCTACCTACTGTACTTAGAACACACATTATTTTATCTTGTCATCCTGCTCCTACATTTTATTCATGACAGCAAATGCCTGTACTGCAATAACTAGGCATTTCTCATAAAACTGAATAAAGGTATCAGGAAAATACTTTCTTTTTCCATTTTCAAAATATGCTCAATGGTGCAATAGATGCATCAATTTATTTATTAATTTATACCCTGCCTTTCTCCCTTCCCTGTGGAGACCCAAAATAGCTTACTTTGTCCTCCTTTCCTGCATTGTATCCTCACAACAACTGCGTGGGGTAGGTGAGGCTTAGAGTGTACAACTGGGCCAAGGTCTTCCAGATCCTGCTCTAACCCCTACACCACACAGGCTCTCCACAGATATGTGGAATGTGATCTTAGTAAAAAGAAATGACACTGAGGTACTATGAAATTCTAGCACAAGTTTTCTTTTTAAAAAATCTTCGAAATGACTTGTAGAACAAGAACAGGATGCAAAGTAAGATCTTTAGGATTAAAAACGTAAAGGTTCCCTTGCTGGAAAGCCAGTCGAATCCGACTCTAGGGTTGCGGTGCTCATCCTTGTTTCAAAGCCGAAGAGCCAGCACTGTCTGAAGACGTTTCCGTGGTCATGTGGCCGGCCTTCCCACCGAAGTGGTACCTATTTATCTACTTGCAATTTCTTGCTTTCGAACTGCTAGGTTGGCAGGAGCTGGAACTAGAGATGGGAGCTCACTCCATCATGCGGCACCCGGGTCTCGAACTGCTGAACTACCGACCTTCCACAGCCTGCAGTTCAGCGTCTTAACCACTTGAGCCACACACACACCAAACAAAATACAAAAGCAAATCTTAAAAAGTGGGCATGAGCAGATAGGCCATATCTTTTTAAAGCATAGTCTTTCAGTTTTTATTCTCTTTAGTTTCAAAATCCCCCTTCTCCTCATTCTCTTGCTCCCCATCTGGATCACATATATGGGGAAAGAGAAGGCAAAGGGGTCCCCCCTGCAGTTGTTGTTTTTTTTAAGCAATGTCTCCTTAGAGGAAGGGAGAATAAGTGTCATGTATACACATGTTCCGTGCGCGTCAGTGTCTAGTCATGCCGGCCACATGACCACAGAAATGTCTTTGGACAGCGCTGGCTCTTCGGCTTGGAAACGGAGATGAGCACCGCATCCCTAGAGTTGGATTCGACTGGCTTTCGAGCAAGGGAAACCTTTACCTTTACTATACACATACAACTCTGTATATGTTGAAAAATCCCTCAGATTTGAGAAAATGAGCAAAAGGCACTAAGGACTTTAAAATTAAATCCTGCTTCTTAGGATTAATTCTGTAATACAGAAAGGCCTCGTGTTAATCGTACCTTTAGCTCTGAACCAGCCTGATACGGGCGAAATGTGACATTTTATCAAATGTAACCAGCAGGACTTACAAGCAAAATTTCAAACTCAGAGACAAGCTGAGAAAGAACTCTAAAGGCAAGGAGAAGTAACCAAGGATGGCAAGCCGAAATAAAAGCGAAAGAGGGGAAACCCGTGTGCTGTGTTGTTATTATGGAGATACTGAATTCACCCTCTGTTACGGAAACCTTCAGCATCTTGAATTGAGTTTCCTTTTTGCCTGAGAAATCAGCATTAGGTCAGGAGGTGAGGAATTACAGACTAAGCCTGTCTACAGGGATACTGAAACCACTTAACACCCATTGTGAAGGTCTTTCTTTGAACTCCAAGGTGTGCTTTCCTCCCTACTGGGATGCCAACAGCACTGATTGAGTTTATCAGATCACAGTTAGCTTTCCCCAGGAAAAAAAGCAACCCTCCCCCCCCAAAAAAAGTATGCCCCAGTCAATCTTTTGTCTTTAAGGTGTGGCAAGACTCCTTTTGTTTTTGTTGGAGTTAACCTTCTTGGGTAATCCTATGCTGTTTTAAGTGCCTTAGTTTCTGCAGTTTTAGGTTGGAATAACTCTGCATAGAATTGCACTATAAAAAGGCAAACCCCTTTGGAAACGTCCCCAGTTTGTTACCTCATATGGAATCCGTTGTTAACCGGGATACCTTAAGAGTGTTTAGTGATTGGCTATGCCCTTTAGCAAGCCTGATGTCACCTCCATCAAAGACTGTCATTCCTATGAGAGGGAGGATTCCACAATTGGCCATGTGGCCAGTTTTGCATGCTGTGTATGGCCGTTTCCATGGACACAACTTCTCTGTGTGTCTGCTCTGCATAGACGACTGCTTCATGAGGAGAGATGAAATGCTGCTTTCTTGAAGCATGTTTTGGTAATTTATGAAGTCTCTCTAACAAGTAGTTTACCCTTTCTTCTAGACTTCATTTTCTGGTGAGCAAGATAGAAACCCATTTCTTTTTTATGTTCAGATGGACTCAATCACCTTTGCTTTAGTAATTCAATGTTTTGCCTCTACTCTATTTCGATGCTGTGAAATGCACAGAAAAAACCTCCAGCCGCCTGGAAAACAGATTACTTCTGATAATATAGAGAAGAGTTTGAAACGGATGGCCAGGGTTATATTGACTGTTATTTCAGGGCTGCCACTAAATATATGCTACTAAATACATGCTAAGATGTTCCCTGACCTGGATGGCCCAGGCAAGCCCCATCTCATCAGATCTTGGAAGCTAAAGAGGGTCGACTCTGGCAAGTACTTGGATGGGAGACCTCCTTGGAATACACCAGAGGTCGACATGACTTCCAGGCGCAGACACACATACACACAAACACAACCCCCTCAGCAAAAAAAATACATGCCAAAATGTTAGCAGCATCATTGGTACCTGCATTGTGTCTTGCTATATAGCCAAGGGCCCAGGATGCAGCTTCCTTGACTCCAGGATCAAAATCCTCCAAGCAGATCACCAGTGTGTCTAATGCTCCACAGTCAACTATTGCTTGGGCTAGTTGAGGCGAATGTTTCCCCACGGCTCGCAAGACAAATGCAGCGGCCTTCTTGTAGAAGCGCTGCAGGAATATGGAGGGGAGAGAGAGAGAATACACTAGTTATTTGAGGCTTGTTTATAATTTTTTAAGTGTAAACTTATCTGTTGTAGATGTGCACTTCGTGCATCTGGTGAAGCGACTTCTGGCTCATGTGCACTTCATGCATCTGGTGAAGTGACCTCTGGCTCATGAAAGTGCATGCTGGAATAAATGTTGTTCAGTCTTTAAGGTGCTGCTGGATTTTTGTTTAATTGTATTCGAAGTGGAGGGGTCACAACTTGGAAATACATTAATATCTTAAGTGATTGACTGAATGATTGAGAACACTTCTATGCCGCCTCATCAGAGTCCCACTTGAGGTGGCTTACAATTAAAATCATTTTATCAATACAAAAAGAAGCCCCTGATGTTTCATTTCTATTACATTTGGGGGTAATGTTCTACCTCAGCTTAAGAGACAGGGACCCATGTGTGTAATTTCCTTCCCCCTTCCACCTGCACTACAAGGCCCTCCATTGCCCAGTGTTGTCCTCCCGCCTCTAGGCACTTCCTTCTTTTGCAAGACTCTGTGGCCTGCCTGCACAGAAAGTACCTATCCCTGGAAGACCTCTCCCGCAATGGAGGACTGTGCTGCACAAAGGAAAGCCAGGACAAAGGTTTGACTTCTGGTTTCCAATGAGGAAAGTATACCCAAAGAATTGACCTCGGGTTTAATGCTTCTGAGGAAGCCAAATCCACAAATCCCACCAAAATAGAAAGTCCCTCCTCAAACCCTGTCCCCACAGTTCCCTCTAAGCTGTGCTAGGGGGTGCTGGCACACAACATTTTAACAGGCAGCTCAGGGGTTGTGAGCTTCTGCTCACAAGACATGTTTCCCTCCATTGGAAACAATGGAGAATGGGAGCACCTCCTTCTGGGGCCCAGAAAATTGGACCCCCTGGTCTAATCTTTTTGAAATGAGGAGGGGAGGGAAGGAGAGGCACCAGCAGATACGCTGCAAGTTTGGTGCCTCTATCACAAAAAAACAGCCCCCTCAGAGCCCCAGATACCCCAGATCGATTCTCCATTATAGCCTATGGAGCCTATTGATTATAATGGTCCCCGTAGGCTACAATGGAGCCAGGGGAAAATGGTTTTGTTTTGGTTTTTTTGCACACCCCTATTATGCTTTTCAGTATGATTTGTAAGCTGCCTTGAGTCACAGGGGAAAGTGGGATATAAATATCTGAATAAATAGGCAGTTTGGGCAGGTTGATAACATTTAAGCAGTTTCCTGTTTGTTAGGTTAGGCAGGGTTCTGACAGTGATTGTTTCTCCTCTGTTATTCTTGACCTGTAATGCCGGTAGTCATATTTCACTAAAAAAACAGACTGCAAGAGTCTGTCTGTCCCCCAATGCTGGTATGTTTTCTAAGGCTCAGCACAAGGCCACAGTCCAAGGCCAGGTCTACCAATATAGTAAAAAAGGGAGGGCAGACCTGTTTTCCAGTGGCCAGATCTACCAATATAATGGAAAGGGGAGGGTAGACCTGTTTTCCAGTGGCCAGATCTACCAATATAATGGAAAGGGGAGGGTAGACCTGTTCTCTGGAGGCCTGGTCTACCAATATATTGGAAAGGGGTAGGTAGGAAATATGCCTGCCAAGCCACTCTAGAGAACTTTGATATTACCATTGCCAGTTTGGTGTAGTGGTTAAGTGTGCGGACTCTAATCTGGGAGAACCGGGTTTGATTCCCCACTCCTCCACTTGCACCTGCTGCTGTGACCTTGGGTCAGTCACAAGCTCTGGCACAGCTGTCCTTGAAAAAGAGCAGTTTCTGTCAGAGCTCTCTCAGCCCCACCCACCTCACAGGGTGTCTGTTGTGGGGAGGGGAAGGGAGAGGAGTTTGTAAGCCGCTCTGAGACTCCAAGTGAAGGGCGGGGTATAAATCCAATCTCTTCTTCTCTCTTCTTCTCTTCACATGGGATTCTACTGTTTGATGTACCTGGAGGTTGGCAACCCTATTAGTACAATCATTTCATGACATCTGTATTGAAGTTCAGATATTTTAAAATGTGTCATTTCAAAGAGAATGTGTCTTCTCAATAAATACCTCTCCTCCATGAATGATCCAATACACATAAATAAAAGCTGCTACCTAACAAAGCATTCTACTAGGAACAAAGCAAGGCCAAATCAGCACTTCTTTTGGCAGCCATCTTGAATTTTTCAGCCATATTATAGTTATATTTTGGTTTGTTAAACCAGTTTGATAACATCATACCTGATTTTCCTGGTACTGATTACTCCCAATTACAAACCACATGAGACTCTACTCAACTACTGTGAGGATTCTTAGAGGATTTTGACTGCTACCTTGGATTCTAGTGAAGCTGACCCCCAGTCCATTTCTTTCAGCACACTTTTCTCACGTAGAAACTACATTCAAATCTACTTATTTGAGCCAGTTTGGTGTATTGGTTAAGTAAAGGGTAAAGGAAAGGGTCCCCTTGCTCAAAAGCCAGTCGAATCCGACTCTAGGGTTGCGGTGCTCATCTCCGTTTCAAAGCCGAAGAGCCAGCGCTGTCTGAAGACATTTCCGTGATGTGACCGGCATGACTAAACACCAAGGCGCACGGAACGCTGTTACCTTCCTACCGAAGCGGTACCTATTTATCTACTTGCAATTTCTTGCTTTCGAACTGCTAGGTTGGCGGGAGCTGGAACTAGAGATGGGAGCTCACTCCGTCAAGTGGTTAAGTGCACGGACTCTAATCTGGGAGAACCGGGTTTGATTCCCCACTCCTCCACTTGCACCTGGTTGGATGACCTTGGGCAAACTATAGTTCTGGCACAGCTGTTCTTGAAAAAGAGCAGTTTCTGTCAGAGCTCTCTCAGCCCCAACTACCTCACAGGGTGTCTGTTGTGGGGAGGGGGAGGGAAAGGAGTTTGTAAGCCGCTCTGAGACACCTTTGGGTAGTGAAGGGCGGGGCATAAATCCAATCTCCTCCTCCTCCTCCTCTTCTTCTTCTTATGGAATCCCTACTTATACTTCCTCGGTTTTCCCTGTGTCTCTGTGGGGTGTTTCTGACACACACACACACACGTGAAAACAGACAGCAATCAGACAAACCCCATAGTTAGAGCTCATATGTTAAACCAGCAACTTGGTCCTCCATGTAGTGCAGGAGTTCACAGGCCCTTCTCCTCTACCATGCATCTAAAAAACAGTGATGTTGAGCCTACCACAGGGCCCCATTCATGCACTCTTCCCCCACCATTTTATTTTTTGGGGTGGAGGGGGAAAATCCACACAGAAGTCTGTGTCACCAGGAGAAGGAGAGAGATGCACAGCCAGTATCATCACTCCAGAGGATCAGGCTGCTGGGGAAGGCTTCTGATTGGCAGAGTCACAGATGGGTTCCCTTTGACACTCTTTAATTATTCTGCAGCACTGAAAACCACAGTGACGCCATGTGAATTTCTTCTGCCACCACAGTGCATGCAGAACCTACCCTAGCAATGGTGAAGGTGAAACCAGGGAATAGTAGGGGGGGGGAACCAGGGGGGGAAAGAAAGAAAAAAAGAAAACTCATAAACTTTTAAATGTTTGTTAAAGAATGTTGTCGAAGAGGTTCCAGAACTCTGTTCCGGCGCATTCCCTCAGGGGAAAAAAGCTGTGTCTGTATGGGTGCTGGCTGTGGACGAATACAGAAAATGATGCAGTTGTTATTCATGATGTAGGCAAGGACTAAAAGATAGAGAAACAGACCTGGGAACAGTCAGGTTGAACAGAAGCTTTTGGTTTTGAAACAGAAAAACTGCAAGGAGTCATCGATGGCAGAACAGCAATAACGTTATAAAGACTGAGTATACAATTATGGTGTTGTTGTTTTTTAATTGCCTACTCAAAGAACAACAATTTAAGATCACTGGCACTATCAGTAGCAAGTAGTTGAGTGTGCGCTGGAGCATACACATTATTACTTTCAGACAATTAGGCTTGAAGCAGGGGGCCATTTTCTGAAGGATTTTTAATACCATTGGTTGAAATCTATTGGGAGGGTCCTCTATGCAGTTCCCATTCATTTCACTGGTGCCTGCACAGCCAGACTCCCAAAGGGCTGCATCCCTTGTTATTATTCAAAATGAGTGACTTCTGAAATAATGCACACTAAAAACAGTCACAGGCACAGAGGCCGACACAATTGCGCCAATATGATTCACATGTGCAGAGTCAACTCTGGGGTGACTTAACATCTGACAGAAAATAAGTTAACCAAGTTTAGATGTGATGATAAGTCCAGAAGAGCTAGTGGCACTAGGCCACATGTTATGTGGCGGGCACATAGAAAGGTCTGCTCCAAACAGGAGCAGGTGAGGTCAGAAGTCTATACAGCCTGTTCTTTTTATTAATTTAGCAGTGTTTTCAGTCTTGGTTCCTGCCTTCTTAAAGAATTATTTATCCAAAAGTAGCAAATGGATAATATTGGTATATGAGCATTTCTGGCTAATATGGGGGTATGACACAGATACCAGTGGCACCTTAGAGACTAACAAATTTTACTCCAGCATAAGCTTTTGTGAGCAGACCTTACTTCTTCAGATGCATGGTCTTCCGTGGCCCTGAGCAGAACTCAAGAATGGAGCCCAAAATCACAGCAAGGGGGTTCCCCTGGCCCTGCCCCCCCACACACACACATAAAGGAGGGAAGGAGAAAGAGCCAGCCCCCCCCCCCCAACCCCCCCCGTCTAGCAACCCACGAAGGCGCAGAGTGCATTTCTCACAACATGACTCGGGACTTGGCTGGGCACCCACCCACCCCCGGTCTACACCTGATTGCCTCTCCCCCACTTCCAGAGTGTCAGGCAGCATGAAGGATCATCAGCTGTTGCCTGTGTGAAGCCACCACCACTGAGTCTCTGCAGCAGGGGAGTAGGCTTCTGGGCAGTGGTGCAGGGGGGCCAGCTGGCTTCAGGGTGGCCGTGGGGTGACCCAGCATGGGTCCTAGGGCAACTACCCAGGCTGCTCCATGCATAAGACTGCCCCAGTGCATGGGGGTGTACGTACAATTCACATATCAGACATAGTGAGCTCTGACTCCCAACAGCTTATAGTGGAATATATTTTGCTAGCCTTTACGTCACTTGAGCTGTGGTGGCTCAAGTGGTTAAGATGCTGAACTGCAGGCTGTGGAAGGTCGGTAGTTCAGCAGTTCGAGACCCGAGTGTGCCACATGACGGGGTGAGCTCCCGTCTCTAGTTCCAGCTCCTGCCAACCTAGCAGTTCAAAAGCAAGAAATTGCAAGTAGATAAATAGGTACCCCTTCGATGGGAAGGTCACAGTGTTCCGTGCGCCTTGGTGTTTAGTCATGCCGGCCACATGACCACAGAAGAGTCTTCGGACAGCGCTGGCTCTTCGGCTTTGAAACGGAGATGAGCACCACAACCCTAGAGTTGGACTCGACTGGCTTTCGAGATCTTTACCTTTACCTTTAAGTCACCACCATAAGTGCCGCTATGGACTAATATGGCTACTGCTCTGGAATTACAGGGCAAAATAAGCAGTCTTAAAGAAAGGGAAAAGTGTATTTAGGGGAAAGAGAGGACAAGATAGAACCAGATATGCTAAGGAAATAAAGATGAAAACAACACACTAACACAGTTGAATGACTGACTCGGCTAGAAATGGAAAACACAAGAGTGGAGCAAGAGGCTTAATTCTAAAGTATCCGTAATTCCAAAGAAAGTTACTTCGCCATCGGCAAGGAAGGGTTTTCTCTCGGTGAAGGAACAAAGCAAGCCTCCTTCCCACAATGTCTGGCAAATCCAATTGTATCTTTCTTGCCAAACAAGGGGGGAGGGAAACACCTGATTTTATAAGTGGAAAAGAGTTTTAACAAAGGATTTTGGGTGTGTTGCACATCAGCCAGGGTAAGGGAGTCAGCCCCAAGCCTGCAGAAGGAAGAGACGGGAGAAGCTGTCTCTTGCTTTGCTGGTGATTTAGAAGGTTTCGCATGAGGGTTACAGTCTGGCAATGGGGAGGTGGGAAGGGGGGTCTTGTCTTCCCTCAGCTCATTTTCCTTGAGTTCATCTTTTGAACCAGAAATTGACAGAGAGCCCACCCCACCCCCAATCCAGTACACCAGCAAACTCAAAGCTATGTCACATCTGCTGTGAATGTCACAGAATGTCGCACAGTAATATCAGAGAGCCAGTGGGGTAGTGGTTACTGGGGTGGACCAGGATCTGGGAGACCCAGATTTTAATCCCCATTTTGCCACAGTTGCTCGCTGGGTGACCTTGGGCCAGTCACTCTGTCTCGGCCTAGCCTACCTCACAGGGTTGTTGTGAGGATAAAATGGTGGAGAGAAGAACAATGTAAGCCACTTCTGGTCTCCACTGGGGAGAAAGGTGGCGTATAAATGAAATAATCAAATCAAGTAAATAAAATGGTACAGGGTAAATGGTGGATTTTCAATATTTTCAATATGGTGGATTTTCAATATTTTTCCCTGTATAACATTGCCAGTTAGTGAGCATATGTAAAAGCTTTTAAAAATATATTTCATGATGCAAGCACTGCTAATCATATTTGATATTTAAGTGATATCATTTTCTAGACTTTCATGTCATGTCTTGCAGTATGATTGATGCGATCATAGAAGTGTAGTTTATGGGCATTTTGCATATATTCTTAACAAGAACATCTAACTAATTACCAACGGAGCATTTCAGATTATTTCATTTTACAACGCAGCCTTTTCCAAACCATCATTTCATTAAACAGTTCAGGAAATAAAATTAGGAGTAATATACTTCAGCTAATGAATTAAGAATAAAATCCTTTTTTTTAAAAAAAAAGACTCATTAAGTCACAATTATGCATACTCCCTATCCAGAGAGACCTTCTACCAAGAGAGATCAATGCACTTACCGCGTATCGCACCATGATAACCATAGACGAATCTAAAGAGTCTTGTTAAATACCTAATTAAGACAGAAGATTTGACAGCTACGAAAGACATGTTGAAGAAAATCATCGTTCCTTACATTCTGTTCAGCCAATGAATAGACAAGCTGTGGAAGGATATCCCCCTTCACTACCGCTTCTGCCAGGTCATCATTGTAATTGGCGAGCCTCCCGAGAGCCAAGGCAGCTGTCTGTTGAATATTCGGAACCACGTCCAATAGAAGCGGTCTCAGCAGAGCCATCACACCTGAGTTAGGAGAGGAAACCCATACAGTAATTACAGAAACAACTCCAGAGCCACCCCAGAACAATTAAACGCTAACTCTAAGAACGCCTGGGGAAATTTGCACATAAACCTAAATTGTATTTATCCCACCAGCCACCAAATATGGGCCAAATGAGATCAAGAGACCAACTTTTCTGTGGAAGAGAAGACAAAACAAAACTGTTTTCCGAACAGAAAGTCCTCTACTTGTTTTCTAAAGCCCTTCCCAAATATCTGGCACGGGCAGGTTGATGTGCCTAGCCCTAGCAGATAATAGTTTCCTTAAAAAATCAGAATCTCTCAAGCACGGCAGTGCACAAGTTTCTAGTCCTTATGGCTGTGAAAAAAAGCTCGAAAGAATTTGGGTAAAATGGGGAAATCTTAGTAGCCAGAGTGGGGGGCTACCAGGATTCCCACTGATCCGGAGTTTGTTGCTCAGCTTGTATATCATCATGTCTAACAGAACTGGGGGGTGGGACCCAATATAGGCAAAATTATGCAAATGTACTTAACTGGCATACTTTCTATTGGTCACAAGGTTCAGCTTTACTTAGCAAAAAATATGAATTACCTAGGCACACAATTTCTTTTTTAGCAATGAGTACACTAAGCCCTAAGTAAACCATTAAAAATAAACACTACCCGTGCCAAGTTCTTCGAATCCGGCAAGGCTCCCAGATCCCTTCTCAGCCAATCAGAGCACTTTTTCACGATAAACACACCTCACATACTGCTTGTAGTTTATTCAGTGGCCAGTGATTCATTTCTTTCCAAAGCGCACGGTGGAATCTCCTCCTGCGTTGCACTCTCTGACACAAAATCCCTGTCCCCGATCCCAGACATAGCTGGGGCTACTCACAGAACAGCAGAGGTTCGGTCATGCAAGGAACCCAGGGCATATGCCACCCTCCCTTTCAGTCCCCTCTCAATAAGAACAATACAAGAATTAAAATTTATTGCAGCAGGTGTGCTGAATTCGGATGGCGAAACAGGCCACAAGTAGCACGGAGCATTGTGGCACACCTAGATAAAAAGGCCCATGGGTTGGCGGCCCTTTGAGCCTGTTCCATGCTGCCCTTCTGCCAGCCCTCCAGTTCAGCAGACCCAAGCAGGCAAAACCAGACCCAAGCAGAACAGGGGCTGCCTACGTGCTGAGTGCACTCAGTAAAGGCACTGCCTCAGCCTCTCGGACTGACTTGTGCTACAAATGCAAAAAGAATGGGCCTAAAATGAACGGTGTGGATACTGAGCCATTGAAACAGTCTTAGAGCAACTTGAGCCAGCTGGCCCCTGTGGTCCCTCCTGACGGGGCCGCTTGTCTAGAGCCTGGGCCATCGTGGGGATGACAACAGGGGGTAGACTCACCAGTGGGCAAATCTATCTCCACGGTCACTGTTGCCACAGCCTCCGTCCTAGCCAAGCACACCTGGCCTCAGTGCAGGGCCCCCCGGCTCAGCTTCCTCCCGGCCAGCAGCAGCCCTCCAGAGCAGAGGCCCACCAGGAACATTCCCAGTATGCTTAAGGGCCAGTGTGCAGAGGTGAAAGTATGCCAATACAGGCCCTTATGGAATATGCCAGTGAGAAAGTGGCAGCGCTCGTCTTCTGCTCTGAGCCTCACAAAAGAGGCAGCACCAGTAAGACGGGTCAAGTCACTTTCACCCCTGCCTGTTACGCTTTTACTGCGCGCAAAGGCAAGAACGGGACATTGGGCAGATTAAATTTGAGATACTGCGTGGGGGCAGGAGTGGGAGTGGGTAAACACGTAGATGGTTTCCCGCATTTGTGCTTCTCACTGCCTCTCACGGCGAATGGTAAATTGTCTGAGAAGAGGAGCTGAAGAAGCCTGCATGCCACCTCCCTCTCTTTCAGAGCGGTGGTTTCTATCAGATGCACTGAAACCACCTGAAATGCTGCCTGTGCCAGCTCCTTGCCAACTGAGGGCAGCTGGCTAGGCACAGCTACTTCCACAGGCAGGATTAAGATTTCATTTCCCACTCAGGCACATACACGTACAGGCATTTATGGTGGCATTCATCGGTGTTTATCCTGCATGTGGGTCCCACACAGGCCTACAAGTGCCAAGGAGGAACTGTGGGCATCAAGTTGGTATGAATCAAATCCGAGCAGTAACTTACAGAGCCAGACCTCGCCCACATCTGTCATGGATGGACACTTCTGCCATGTTCCTTCCTTCCTGTTTGCTCACTTTGCTCAAACAACTCCTCAGCTCGGCTGCCAGTGCCCCCCCCCCAGGGCGCCACCCTACTGGAAGCTTTCCAGAAGTTAAAGAGCCAATCCTCTCCTAAAAAGGTATCATTAGTCTCTCCTGCATGATCTCAGTGTCCCAGCACAAGCAGACTCGTGCAGGTTGAGGAGCCCCTCGGAAGCAGCAAGAAGAACACTGTCCTCATACGGTAAGAACTGGCCCTTAGATTCAAACAGGGAGAGTTCACCGGTATTCTAGAGTTGGGGGGGAAGGCCCATGCAAACCAAATCCTTCCCCGTCCAAGAAAGAAAAGCAAAAAATATTCTAAGGTCATATTGGCAGAAGATCAAGGCTAGTATTTCCTGTTAATTAATCTGAATAGAGACAACCCCCCCCCAGCTGTGTACTCACAAAAATTAACATGGATACGAATTTACCATTTCACCCCTACGCATGTCCAGAAAGGGTGAGAAAAACAGCCCTTTGATTGTGAGTTTGACAGGGTGATTACAGGGTGATTAATCTGTCTTGGCAGCCTTCTGCACACACCCTCCAGTTTACCTTAGCTACATCTTGGGTCCACAGCTCCACAATAACCTAGGCACTAATTTATCCAGCTAGGATGAATCACAAGCTATTTTGCAATTGTGATAAATTACAAAAAAAAATCAAAGTTTCAAAAGGTTTTAAAAGTCAAGACATCGATGGTCTTACTCGGGGAGTCCTAAATCCTGAACAGACATTGTCAAATCTCCCAGGATGTTCCTAACATACTAATGGGCTAGATCTAGCACCAAAATAATTTCAATTTTCTAAAAAAAAAAGAAATGCTAAGATTCTGATATCCGTATTACATGTAACAATTTGCTTAAAAAGCAGCCTCCCTAACCTCCAAAAACATTTCTAAAAGCAATATTTTGAAAATATTAGATTATAAATTGCCACAAACTCCTTTATTATCCCCAAAGCATCCACAGTGACATGCCAATGACCTGTAAATATAGTTTAATCTAATTGATTAACTTCATGAAATGATTAAAAAACAGACAATGAATCAACTGTACAAAAATGGTAATTGCTGCACTGACATGGCTAATTTAAGAAACATTACAAAAAGAAACAATATTCTCAGACTGCCACTGGGCTGCTGTTCTGAAAATACAGACAAGTTTTAACAGTAAATAAAAGCAGTCTCATCCCATATGGAATTATATGCAAATATGTTAATGAAGAAATAGAAATACAAACAAAGAAATTCTATGGTAGGTTCCAAAACTTTAATGTGTGCCATATGTTGATTTATCAACCCACCATAACTTCTTGGACAGAATTACATCACATTATGCTTACATATATTAGAAACTACTAATCTGAGGAGCAAACTCTATAATTTATGGTTCTTTGGGTAGCAATTACAAGAAAACGAGTCTCAGGGACTCAGGCTTATTTATATGCTTAATTACAGTAGCTCCTGCAGCATTTGTGCTGAGTCAAAACTAGACAATGGTACGGTCCCTTTGTGAGAGACTGCGTGTGCTTAGTCTGAAGTGCTGGGCTTTGAAACAGGACATTCTGTAGCTAAGCGAAACCATCCAGAGAGATTACCCAAATTACTCAGCAGCAGTTTACAGCCAGTTTCTGCTATGTGCATTTCCGACATAAAAAAATCCTCACCAATCAGAGAAAAATAAAAGGCAAAAGCAGACTTGAATGCTGTGCAGAACTGAGCACCATGAAGAGGTTTTGAAATTATGGACGGAGTGGAGTGGAGAGGATTTTCTCTCAGTTGTGCTCTCCCCCACCACCACCACCACACACACTGCTAGAATTCATCCAAAGAAGCTGAATTGCAGTAGAATCAAGACAGACAAAAGAGATGTGGAGACAGCTTTTTTAACCTTCTGTAAATTTGAGGCTGCAATGCATTGCTGCAATGTGCTTTATGTGTGGCTGCCCTGCAAGCTATTGACATAAAACACTCAACATGTTGCAGCTACACATTCAAAGCAATCAGGTTTACAAGCCAAAACTATAAAACACCAGACATGCATGTTCAATAAATGTATGGAGGGATCTCAGGATCATGCCTGGCCATTGTACCGCATGTATTTTTGTGCTGATCTATGAATGTAGTAAACCATTCATTCATTCATGCTTGTCCACCGCGACATTGGTAGGCATCAGATACACATAAAGGCCTGTGGACTTTGAACATGCAAACTATACAGTCTGTTTTATGGTGCACAGATAACACAGTTAGGGGCTATGCATATAAGATGCTTTGCACACAAGTGTGCATACACTGGGGACAGGATTCATTCATTCATTCATTCATTAAATTGGATTTGCTAGGCCACCCCTCCCTACAAGTAGGGCGCAGGGTGGCTTACAACAAAATGACATATAAAATTAAATTAAAACCAACATTAAAACCACCAAAAAACAGATCAGTAAATAGAATATACATATACAAGATTGGGAGGGGGGAATCAGCTCCCAGCCTCCCTGGGGGAGGGGTTGTGAGGGATGGGGAAGTAGATGAGAGTGCCAGAGTCGTGAGCGTGGCTATAATTCCTTCATAGGGCAATTGGCCTACCATGAGAATGGGATACAGAAACAGTGAGCTTGGTTTTCAGTGGCTCCCAGAGGATACTTATTGGATTTTTATCCTACTTAGAATAGCATACATGGTTTTCTCCCCCCCCCTTTTTATTCTCACAACAGCCCTAGGAGGTAGGCTTGACTAAAAATGGTCACTGTCCGGAGATCACCTAGG